TATTTCGAAAACCCCCTAAAAGTATGTTGCGTCTTACACAGTCCCCCGACGGTGTTACTTTTGATGGAATTTTTTCATTCCAAGGAATATTACTCCGAAAATGTCATTTTTACCCTAGGGGTAGTTGTAAATATGTTTAATTACTCAAGGGGTAAAAGTAATATATTTATAAAAAAAAACCGTAGTTATTTTCAATTTTAAAACTATAGCGTACTAATTTTAAAACTATATTGTATTTATTCATTTTATAATTATTAAAAATAGAAAATGTATATAAGAAAGATTTAAACATATCTTGCAACATTAAAAGTTTTTATTTGTTTTGTATTTTTTATTTATTTATATTTTTAACCATTATTAATTCAATAATATCGATTTGACATATTTTGGAAATATTCTCTTATTTATTTTAGGTTACAAATATTTTCATTATTTTTTTAATAAATTTAATTATATTTCAATTTAAACAAAAGAAATGCAAATACTGCATATTAAATATAAATAAATCATTAAAAAGTTTGCAAACCAAGGCGATCAGATAAGTCATCGCTTTTACTTCTTTCTTCCAAGAGATATTAAGGTAATTGTCAATACATTATATTTTTCGTCAAAGGCACCATGGGGGGACTTTGTAAGATGGCAACATACCTCAGGGGTTTTTCGTAATTTACCCATTATTTTTTTCAAATAATATAAGGGTATAAGGTATAATGGACAAAAAACATTTTATGTGAATTTAAACAGTCAAACACTGGTCATAGGGATTTTGTAATTAGGCCTTACTCTCAGGAAGTTTTTCATAATTTTTCACACACGCATATATATATATATAGAGTATCAGATACAGAGTCATTGCTATAATTATATATTTGTATGTGGTAACAAATATTTCTAGGTTGTGAAATACTTGTTTATATAGATAGCATTTGTTATTTCCTTATTTGATTCTTAATTATAGAAAACATTCTCATAGCGAATACCACATTGATCCCTTTAGCTTGATCCACGTCAAATGATCGAACTGTTTGATTATGTTACGTGCCAACAATAAATCACGGAACTTAATTAACATGCTACCAAATAAAATATCAAGATAAATTAAATACTTTTGGCATTGACTTGATTAGCATAAAGGGAAAATGTAATTTCCAATTTCAACATGAACAAAATGAAACTGCGATTCCCAAGTGTTGTGATAAAAATGAAGTCCAAAATAGGGCCCCAAATATTATCTCTTCAATCCTTTTGGACTTATATGCATGATTTTTTTTTAATTGTGAACACTAACTTATCAAATATCATGACCCCATTGATGCATACTATGCATGCTTTTTTTGATCAGATGTTAACATCAAGATTTTAAAATTAAAAAAACAAAAAAAAACAAAAAAAAAATTATAAAAAAGAATGACATAAATATATATATATATATATGTATATATATATATATATATATATATATATATATATATATATATATATATATATATATATATATATATATATATATATATATATATATATATATGTATATGTATATATATATATATATATATATATATATAT